AAGCAAACAATTCTGATCTCCCAAATTTTAATACTGTTTTGCATACAAAGCCATTTTGATCATTTTGTTTCCTGCTTCCATCTGACACTGGAAGTAGGAAATTGCTAATGGAATTCAGGATTGTCCAAATTATGCAAGCTTGCCAGAGCTGGACAGAGCAGCACAGTGAAATGTTAGTGCAATGCATTCTGGTGATAACTACAAAGCTGAGTTAAGATATTCTAGGTCTGCATAATTTTTAATGAGTTGGCTGAATAATACTAATGTAATTGGAGTGTCTTAAGCTTTAGGCTAGGGAAATTAGTTCACTGTATTCTATTAGGACTGTAAAAGTAAATATTTTTAAGATTGCCTTTTATTTCATGTTACCGAGTGGAAGGTAAGTGATCTCATTACCGTTATTTTTTGTTAGACTTCTCCCAACAGAGTAAAAGCTTTACCATGGCAGTTCTGCCCTTCCTCCACCCTAGTTTGCTCTGTCTGTTGGTGACATTTTCACTTTACAGATTGTGTTTAAAAAGAAAAACCCAAAATTCAATTAGCTTATTCACAAACACTGGTGTCTTTGATACAGGAAGACAGAGAAATGCATTCTGGGGAGGATAACTTTGAGTGCAGGGCAGAGCTGCTTTAAAACTATGACTCTTTCAGGACATTGACCTTTCTTCCTGATAGTCTTAAATTTGAGTCTTCTGCTCTTTTGGGATGAGTCTGTCTTGTGTTTATTCCATGCAGTTACTAACTTTGCTTTTTTTTTTTCTTATTACTGTCACCTGCATTCGTGCTCCCCACCTTTCGTTGGCACGTCCTCTCTTCTTCTCCCCTTTCCTCAACCCCACCCCTTCACTGTGCTTCGCTCCTGGGCACTTCACAAGATGTGGAAGATGTTAAATTTGTGATAAACTACGACTATCCGAACAGCTCCGAAGATTACGTGCACCGTATTGGCCGTACCGCACGTAGTACCAACAAAGGTACTGCCTACACCTTCTTCACACCAGGAAACCTGAAACAAGCCAGGGAGCTTATCAAAGTGTTGGAAGAAGCCAATCAAGCCATCAATCCAAAGCTGATGCAGCTTGTGGACCACAGAGGAGGAGGAGGTGGTGGTGGAGGTAAAGGCATATGGGAGAAGGGCCACACAGGGATAGGTTCCCCCTTTTTGAGGGAGGGAAGATTAAAAGAGGGTAGGGAAGTGGTAAGTGCAAGTCTTAAGATAATAAAGCTGTTCTGTACTGGAGGTCACAACACATTATGTAGATGTAGTATATCTACATAATGTCCCAACAGAGAGGCAGTCCCCTGTTTTACCTGAGCTGTAGAATTTTATTTTTCTCCTGATAAGGTCATCACAGGGCTGATTTCATTTGAAGTAAGTAATTCCTTATGGCTCCTACCTAAGCACACGCAACACTATGCGTGTGGATACCCATGCAGAATTGAAATGAGTAAAGGGATACACTGACTTATTTCGGGGACTGAGACTATTTTTGCTCCCGTTCCTTGAAGGAATAAGAAGTTTCCTTATATTTCCAAGTTAGCCCTGAATTTCTTCCGTTTCTTTGTCTCCAAGCACGTGCATAAAGAATCCTCGTTGAACTTTGTGTTTACACTTTGAACAAAATGACGAGGCATATGCACAGCTGTGCAGGGAAGTTACAGTCAAAAGAATGTGCTCCTTGTGGGCAAAATTGGGGATGTAGAAGGGGAAAAATAGGGGCACAATTGTTCCAGAATTCATTGTTTAAGACTTGTTCATGGTACTAAATCTTAATATATCCATCGCCAGGAGGTCGTTCTCGTTACCGAACGAGCAGTTCAGTAAACAACCCTAACCTGATGTACCAGGAAGAGTGTGACAGGAGGCTCCGGGGAGTGAAAGAGGGCCGGAGAGACTCAGGTGGCTTCAGAGACCGTGAGCGTGCTGACAGTTATGCCAACGGAGCCAACAAGACCTATGGCAGTGCCTACGGGAGCCCAAATTCTGCTTTTGGGGCAGCACAGAGCCAGTATGGTTACACTCAAGGGAGCTATGGAGCAGCTGCCTATGGCACGAGTGGCTATGGCACTGCAGAGTACAGTGCTAGTGGCTATGGTGCCAGCACCACAGCTGCCACCGCTGGGAGAACCTCACAGAGCACTACCCAACAGCAGTATGCAGGGATGGTGGGGCGCTCGGGCCAGCAGCCACAGCCGCTCATGTCACAACAGTTTCCGCAGCCCCCTGCCACTAATGTGATGGGCTATATGGGACAGACTGCCACCTACCAGTACCCACCCCCTCCCCCGCCCCCGCCCCCCTCCCGCAAATGAGACCACTTGGTGACCAGTGTAGACCTCTTGCATTTAAAGGAACCTTTTCTTTCTCTTCTTTCCCGTTGTGATGTCTCTCATGCAGGTTAGACTTAGAATTCACCATTCAAATCACTTGAGCCCATCAAAAATGGCCCCCAGTCCACATTAATGACCCTGTCCTCTTTGGTTTTTAATTTTTTTTTTTTAAGAGGTATATATAGTTGACTGGAAATTCATTATTTTTATCTTGCATGTTGATGAGTTTGGAAATTTTATTTTCTCTAAAGGAAATGGGTATAAGGCAGATAGGTCCCAGGTCGATCATCTTGGTGTCTAAGGTTTGTGTGAAAACTTGCTTTTGAGAGGGAGAAATTTCTATTCTGTAACACGTTAACTTAATTTCAGGAAGTATCAAGAGAGGTGGGAAACTTCGGGGAGCCAAAAAGCACTTCATTTAAAATATAAATGCAAGGGAGCAATGCTCACTTCTCCTAATCTTATTTTTTTTTTTAAGTAGCTCACTATTATTGCTTGTAATCTTGTCGTAGATGACTTTCTATAGGAAAACTCTGCTCATTTGTCTGAGCTGGCAGTGTTCAGAGTAATGCCTTATTGTCGGCATTTTCCACAGCTCTGGAAGCCCCGTCTTCTCATACCTGTGGCAGCCAGCAGTAGGGAGGTTGGAATTAAAAATCCAGTGTCTGAGACCAAACCTGCCTTGGATTTGATACCTGAAAACCTGATAGTTGCTGTGGGTACCACTGCTAAAATACTCAGTCAAGTAAGTTATTTCATGCGGAGCCTGGTTATTGTTAAATTAGTTTCTGCTCTTAAATTCCTGTTGTTGAGTTTATTGAGAGAAGTCATACTTGAGAGCCAAGAAACTAAACAAATGATGAACAACGTATCTTGTTCGTCTGTCCTTCACAAACTCCCTCCCTTTTGCCATAGGGAATGTTCTGAATGCCACTACGCTCAATAAAATGTGACAGAGTTTTCCACACTTGAATTTAAGAGGCTCGAATAGAGTGGGCTGGGGGGGAGGGCAAGGGGGGGAGGAAGAGAGGAGGAGGAGGAGATTGACTGGGATCTCCTTTCCATGAGGTAAGCAGTGAGCTGGTTAGTGCATCCTGATTCTGAAGCTTTATTTCTTTTGTACCTTGCTCTGACTATTGCTTTCTCTGGCTTTTGAGTGCATTTCCCTGCTCCATTGGTCCCTTTGAGCTGAGCTCTTGCAGGTAGGTAGTATTTTAGAAAATGTTAGAGAAGAGTGAAATTTTAGTAAATACGTAAATAAAACTTGTTTATTTTACAGGCTAAGGTGGGTGTGAGGGGGGTTCCCCTCCTTAGTAAAGCATGTTGTTGACTTGTTATTTCTAATACCAGACGGTTCAGAGACAGTAGATGATAACAGGAGTTGGCTGCTCTTGATCTGATAATGTGACAAAAGAATGGATACGTCTCCTGGTTTGAGGCATGCTCTTTGCATTATGAGAGTGCAGGGGGTTGTGGGTTTTTTCTGTTGGCGTTCTTGCATATGGATGAACAAGGCAGCCCACTCCTTCTGTAGCAGAGTGGAACTTCTTATAGCCCTGGAAAAGAGCTTGCTTATACAGAAATGATTTCTTTTTAAATTTAATTTCTTACCAGAGTAAAATTTTGGGGGTTGAACGTGCTGCCATTTTTTTTTTTTTTTTTTTTTTTTTTTTTTTTTTTTTTTTTTTTTTTTTTTTTTTTTTTTTTTTTTTTTTAGTGCAGTACACAGGTAGGTTGCTGACAGGGAGAAGGGAGAGATCTTCCAGAACCTCAGTTCCCTCATCCCATTTTATAATTCCAGTGCATGGGCAGGAAGTTCCTTTGCTTGTGTTAAGTGAAAGCCAGAAACATTTTGTTTATCCAGGCACTGACTGATTTGTCTTTGGCCTGCCTCACAAGCAAATATAGAGCTTTTTTCTTTTTCCTTTCTTTGTTTTAAATTTGAGAGTTGAATGCAGAAATGTGTTTGAGGAGTGTAGGAGTAGGACATCTCACTGACTGGCTTTAAAAAGGGTCTCTGGACCACCAAAGCTGCCTTATAGTCTGTTATAGCTTTCACTTCTTTTGGTGGGGACTTGTGCACATGTAAACATCGATGCCAAGTCTTACTTTATTGCCATTGAGGTCAGCTGAAGTCCAGGGTCTCGGTTCAGTTCAGAGTGTCAACCAGACTGTTGAGTGCATAAATGCACCGTGGCATGTGCTGCCCCTGTCCCACCTGGTGCTCGCTGCTCTGTTCCATATACCAGCTGGAGGGCCCTTGTGGATAAAGCATTAGTCTCTAGTGTTGTTTGCATTGTTTTCAATCTGTAAAAAGTTTGTGGGAGTGTCAGATGAGTTGGGTGTCTCCTCCCCTCCCACTTCCTGAAGCAATTTACTGTTTGGACTTCTCTGAACAATGGAAGGGTTAGTGGCTTTGTGTGGGATCAGCATCTTGTTTCACACACCTGCTGGTCTCTGAACACATTCCTGTTGTATTAATAAAGACTTGAATTGAGAGATTCATAGATCTGTGGTGTTCAGGCACAGGATACTAAGAGCTATGTTACTATTCTTAGTTTGTAAATTGTCCTTTTGATACCATCTTGTTTTCTTTTGTAGGTATAAATAAAAACACTGTTGTCAATAAATTGTGAACTTTGTCTTTATTTATGAAATGTAAAGCCGTCTTTGCCCCTGTTCTTCCCAGTTCTTAAAGTCAAATTCAAGGAGATGGAAACACCTCTTGGCAACCCACTGAATTTTAACTGAAATTATCCCCATCTGTAGGATATGAGGAACTGAAAGTGAGTGAGTGGGGAGGATGTTTGAATACTTGTGGAACTGGAAGATTCATATCATTCAAAGGGAATGTGTTTTTCCTGAATGTTACAGGATCTGAATAGAGAGAGGGTCAGGCAGACTTAATTTTGAAGAGGGTGTTAGTTCATACAGAGTTAAAATAACAGTTTGTAGCATCTGCTGTGTCAGATGTGACCACCTGTGAAATAGGTCAGCGGCTTTTGTCTGTGCTATCAGACTTAATAGTACCGTGGTCCCTTTACCACAGGGACTTGCCAAAGGACTAAAGGGAGTTAAAAATTCCCTTATACTCCTTGTGCCGCACGTTCAAGGTAGAGGTGTGTTCTGGAGGTAGGTGCTGGGAAGAGCCAGGAGAGAATAATTTGCACTACTTCAGTATTGGCCAGCACTACTTGGACTAGCACCAAATTCAAGTGAGAAGAAATAAAAAAATGGAGGGGAAGAGTCTTGTGGATGAAAAGCATTTCAGCTTTCCAAGCCTCATCTTCCTGTCACCAGGTTGAAACTTGGCTGAGCCATCCGTTAGTCAAAAAGGGCCAGGGAAGGAAAGCTGTGATCTTAAAAGCTTTGTCTTCAGAATGTCTTGCGTTGTGGAATGTCTTCAAACAGGCATGGGGAGACTTAGCTTCTTTCCTTTTAGGACTATGCAAAAGAGAAGGGTAATGAATGAACTTCGGGGAATTCAACTGTTTTATTGTTTCAACAATTTTATTTTTTCTAAATTGCTGTTTAGAGCATGGGGTAGTGGGATGCCAGGTTTGCAAACTGCAAATGGGAGACAACCACTACAAAATTGCTGCTAAGAGGGCAAACTCCACAAGCTAGCTATTATCCTTTATGCTAAAGGAAAAGGTTCCTGTTTCCTTTTCCATGGTTACTTGCTCTCCCATGTGGACCCTTTTAACTTTTTTTCTAATGATGTGCTATCCTTAGTGCTTTCCCCTTTTGATATAGACCATGGCCTGAATAAATGGTCTGTGGCCAGCCCCTCCTAAGCCTGCCCCACCCTGTTTGATCTGAAACTTGGGATGGCAGGGATGCCTCTGGTGGGGTGCATGGAGCAGCAGCTGCCCTGGATGCGTGGTGGTTGGCAGGGCATGGTGGCTGTTGGCCTGGTACGGGGGTGCACCCTGGGGATGGATGCTGGGGCCTGTCTCTGTTGGGTGCCAGAGGGAAGGGCAGTAATGTGCTGACAATGGACCACAGAGGGCAGTGAGTGCCTGATGCACCAGGTGGGGCCACAGGGACTGTGCCAGGCTGGAGAAATGGGCTGGGAGGAACTCGTGAGGGTCAGTGAATACAAATGGATGTCCTGCCCCTGGGGTGGAACAACCCCAGGCACCAGTAGGTGCTGGGGCCTGCCCAGCTGGAAGGGGGCTTGGCAGAAAAGGCCCAGGTGTGTGCTGGTGGATGCCAAGTTGAACACAAGCCGCCGATGTGCCCTTGTGGCAAAGAAGCAAATGGCCTCTGGAGCTGCAGGGCCAGTGTGGGGGTCCTTCCTCTCTACTCAGCCTTGGGGAGGCCACAGCTGGAGTGATGGGTTCATCTCTGGGCTCCCAGGGCATATTGGGGCAAGTCACAAAGGACCACAGGAGCATCTGACATATGAGTGCAGGCTGCGAGCTGAGACTGTTCAGCCTTGAGAAGGCAAAGGGGGATGTCGCCCATGTGTACAAATGCCTGATGGAACAAAAAAGGAGGCAGACCCAGACTCCGCTGAGTGGTGCCCAGTGACAGAACGTGGGGCAGTGGGAAATTCCACTTAAATATCAGAAAATAACATCTTACAGAGGGTGGTCAGACACCAGCACAGGTTGCCTGGAGAGGCTGCATCCGGTAGATAGTCAAAACCTGACTGGACAGGACTTTGAATAATGTGCTGTGAGTGGGGGCATGGATTAGATGATTCCCCCTCTCCTTCCCCTATCTGCTTCCAACCCCAGCCATTCGGTGAAACACAAGCTTTGAGGAGCTGAAAGCTTCCTCAGGATATCTTTCATGTCCTTGTGTTAAACAGAAAGGAGCTCATCTAGTTTTGAAAACAAGATAAAAAGAAGTAGCATTCTATAAAAATCCCTTTGCAATGCTTTGGTATAGGCTCTGAAGTCTTATTTAATACATTTCTTTATATAACACATTTTTGCTTTTTTTTCTTTTCTTCAGCATTGCTGCCCTTTTGTCTGAGTTCTTCAGTGTTAGAAATGTTTTGAAAAGTTGGGGTTTTTGAAAGAATGTAAAAGAGATGCAACCTGCTATAATATTGCTGGCTCTCATAAATGACTGCAAAGCATTTGCATATCTTCAGACCCTGTTTCTCTCCCATGATCCAGAACATTTGTGTAAAAGAAAAGAGGGGAAAAAAAGCAATTCTCTTCCTGCTGTGATGTTCCAGGGACAAATGTTTTTTCTTCTACCTCCTGTATCATCTAAATTTTGCAGCTCTGTCACTAGCGGTGTGAGACTGAAAGCCAGCAGTTGTGTTTTTTCCCCCTTTTGTTCCACCATCACAGCTACAAAGGGTATCGATTTCTCACAAAATACAGGACACATGAATGGAGCAAAGCTAAAATGGGAATTAGTTTTGAAAAGGAAAAAAAAGGAATTGACGTGGAGCACCTTGATGGCAGTTTTACAAAGTAATTTTCTGGCTACAAAAATATTGAATGACAGAAGGAAGTCTTAATCTGCCAAGGCTAGCCACCTGCTCAGTGCTCCTGTCACCTCTCTGTCAGCAGGTACAGTGCATGAAGCTACCAAAAATCCATTCCTTGAAACATCAAACGTGGGCCATCACTATTGCTTTTGGCAGACTAGAAAATGATTGTCCACTCAGGCAATTTCATCTAATTCTGTCCTCCTCAACAGAAAGGTGTTTTAAAGTGTACTTCAGCCTCGGCAAACCACAGTGTGTTCTACCAGGATTTATGCCCTTGGTGCACTTGTTAGCTCTGGTATGTAGCCATTTACCAAACACAGCACTGAAATGGAAGGGGCATCTGATTTTGGAAAGTGTCTCTTCTGTGCAGATGCCCATCTTCCTACAGAATTAGTTCTTGACAATGTTACATCTTTCCCATCAAAGGAAAAGTAGGCTTAATAATATCTCCATATGTCTGCAGTTGCCTTCTCAGGTACATTGTCTGCCTGCAGCTATTTTTTCCTCCTCAAATTTTTTTTTTTTTGCGTGATTCATAATCTTTCAGAATGAATGTAGAATTTAAATGTACCTCAGTTGTTAACTTCCCAAGGTAGGGTTAAACTAGGCTTAGCTGTGGTTTAATTTCTGCTGTGTTTCACACGCGCTTTAGAGCTTTGTGAGCAGTGATGCCCACTTGCATTCAACAAATGGTTTTTTTAAACTGGACTTCAGGTGCACAATGTGCATCACAAATACGGCGAAGAACGAAGTCATGCAAGGATTAACGCATGGCAAGCTGCAGCTCCACTGTGCATTGCAAGAGTGCTGAATAAACATTTCAGATTTATACCAACCTATTTACCTACCTTTGGTGACGTATAGATAGAAGAAGTCACAGTAGAAGATGGTTTGTACCACCCCAGAGACTACAGCGATCTGGTCATAGAAATTCTCCGTGTGGTAGCGCCAGACCCAGTTGGCAATGTAGAGAGCACGGTAGAGGCCCAGGAAGAAAAGGTAGTGCGTCGTGATGGTCTCTGCTTCCCCTGTCTTGCTGATCATGAAGAGCTGAGGAAGGATAGCCACGGACTCCAGGTAGATGGAGAAGGTCCAAAGTATCTGTGAGGTGCAAAACGAAGGCAGTGGGGAGTCGGTGCTGGTTAATATGTGTTAAGGCCCAAAGCTTTTCCTTTGGCAAAGCACTGATGTGTAAGTGGCATGAGTAGTGCTGCTGAAGTTGGGGGAAAAGAGCCTGCTGTGCTGGGACTGAGAGGAGACAGCACTGAGCATCTTCAAGGCCTGCCAACTTTGCCTTTCCTGCCTGCTTTTACTGTTAAAAATCTCAGTTATTCAACATGCTTCTCCCTCTGCTGCCTGGTGTCAGGCTGCTGCTTCCCCTCCCTCTTCCTGCCTCAGTTTTTCCTTACCTCCAAGGGGGTGAAGCTGTGGTTCTCCAGAAATGACAGGCCTGTGACAGGGACCAGCAGGAACTCGAGGCGAAAAGAGTCGTTCTCACTGTCAAATGTTTTCCGGAATTTCACATAGATCATGTACACGGTGACGTAGGCACATATCAAAAAAATGACCTGGGGGAGAGAAGGGAGATGGCAAGACCTTCCATTCTTAGAGGATGGCTTTGCCAAAGGTCTGTAAACCTGGTTCTGGTGTGGCCATGCCAGGGTCAGATAGTGGTGAATGATTTTCCCGTGCTGGTTTATGGATTGACTTCTGCTGGAGATACTCCAGTGGTCAAGTGAAGCTTGCTCCACCATGAGGATCACACGTGTTTGAGTCCCTCTGGGGCTCTGTGTGAAGAGGTTGGCTTGGTAGCAGCCTTCTGTTAGCATTCCTGCTGTGCAAGGACACCCAGGCTTGGTTCACAGCATCTCATTCTAGTTTTAGTGGTACTAAATGTGACTCAGCTCACTCACTGGCTCTGGTGAGGTGTTTTTTTTTTTTCAATGGAGGGCCAGTGACACCAAAGGAAGCATCTCTACCCAGACTTCCTGGCTGAAAAAACTCACTTAGTGACCGTGTACCCTCACCTCCTTGAAAAACCACGGCGAGCTGAGGGGAAGCTCTTCTGCTGCACTGCCCTTTCCTTACCTTCATCACAGTGTTATAGACAGAGATGAAGTTTGTGAACAGGTCCAGATAGCGGGTTGTGAAGACAAGGGCAAAAAGAATCTGACTCTTCCCAGAGATTCCTGTGTGGCAGGGAGACAAAAGGAAGGTAAAGCAGATGAAGGGAAAGACCCATAGGGTGGGAGTTTCCCCTTATGCCCTCTTTGGAAGCATTTGTATATATGCATGTTGTTTTTTGAGCCAGGTCTGGTGTGCAGGTGCTGATGTAGCTCTAGACCTACCCCAGGACTGGCCAGAGACCCCCAAGTAACAAGGCAGGCTCCTGCTGATGCCACTGAGCCGTGCCTGTAGGGACTGGTGCCCAGTGGGCATGTCCACTGCTTTGGCCAATTCGGTCCTTACTGTCATCAAAAGGCCTTTCTTCTCCCTCCTTTCCTCCTTTGTTGCCCACCTCACCAGGGATTGTGTGATGTGACATCTGACATAGGAGGGAAGAGCTGTGGGACCAGCCCAGGGATGCTGATGGAGCTTGGTCACTGCTGACTGGGAGATGCAGTCAGGCCCACCCATTTCTCTACCAGTGATAATGGTCACAGCCCCAGCAGCCCAGCCCCAAAATCTATCGCTGGGGAAACTATGAACTCAGCAAAATCCTCCTGCAGGAAGCTGTTGTCCTAATTTCCTTACCCCAGGATGGGGCAGCCTCTGGCACCTGTCCACCACTGGCACAACCTCCAACTTAAAACAGCTTTCTCTCCAGGTTGTTGGTGTTGGTGCTGCCACAACTTCTTACTCTCATTTTCCACCTCCCTCTGGCCTTGCTGCCCTCCCCTTCACTTCACCACCCCAAGACCAACACCTGCCCAAGGCTCTGTGCCTTGCCACATCACATCCTTCCAACACAGCACTCTCCTTCTGGCAGGGACACCTTCCAGAGGAGGAGGATGACTTCCCTGCGAGAGCCCAGTGGGGAGGGCTTCCAGTTTGTGTGGGCTATCACTAGTCTTTCCAGCACCCATTTTGCTTGCACCCTTCATCAAGCTGCCCTCCAAGAAAGACCACCCTCCTTCCCTGGGGCATGGAAGCACTCACCGGCACAGGACTTGGACTTCAGGATCTTCAGGAGGAGAATAATGATGGCCAGCAAGTGGGAGATATCCCCCAGGATGCGGAAGATGTTCATGATGCCGGTGGGGGGCTCCTCTGGGGCGAAGGGAGTGTGGCGCTTTCCGCAGTCAGGGAGGGCGAGGGCAGGGAGTTTTTCTTCCCTGAACCTCAACTGAGTGAACAGTCTCCTCCGGCTCAACTTTCCTTTTTCCCTGAGCACAGAGCCCTCCCTTCCTGTGGAGCAAAGTTCAGGCTCTTCTCTCCCCTGGTTGTGGGTGCCTTTCCCCTTCCAGGCTGGATGTCTCCCTTAATTACTTTTCCACCAAGGTGTATTTTCCCTCTCCCAGGCTAAGGCCTTCTTCTCCCTGCTTTAGGCTGAAAGTTGGGGTTTGTCCCCCGGAGAACCCCAGGCTGAGCAGCCCTGAAGCCAGCGCTGGGTGACGGTGACGTGGCTCCTGGCTGGCCGGGGAGGAGAGAGAGGAGGAGGCAGAGGCGGGAATAACTGCGCTATTTTTCCCTTTTTCTTTTTTTTCTTTCCTCTTTTTTCTTCCCCAGCTTGTCTCAAGTTACATACGGAAGTATGGTTAGAGGGGAAAAGGCAGAGGGAACGGGATTCCCATCCTCTGGCCTTGAGGACACACCCTCCTGCGGGGCCAGGCTTCCCAGGGAAGTTCACCATGGTGCATTAACCTCTGTCCTGCTCCCAGCCAGCAGCCTTCTGCCCTCTGCCCTTGCTGGCCCCATCCCACCTCCAGCACCTTCTCCCCAGTGCTCCACTTTGTCTCCTGGAGCAAAAGAAGTCAGGAGAGATTCGAATTACCAAACCATTGCGGCTCTTCCACAGCAGTTCATGCACAGGCATTCCCTGATGACTGCCCCACCAGGCAACCCTGCCTTCGGGTTTCCCATTTGGAGCAGCGTGGATCCCAGACCCCAGCCCAGGAGGAAAGAAAAGATCCTCCCAAGAACTGGTTTGAAACAAACTTCACTGAAAATATTAATCTTGGAAGCCTGCAAGTGTGTTACAAACAACATAGTTCATGGGTTGAGTGAAAGGAGCACATGGGCGCTGCTGGTTTTGTAGATTTCACAGAAAGGAGCTCAGTAGTGACTGTTAGAAAGTTCTAATATGTTTGAAAACAGCTCTGAGTGACCAGCCTGGTTCAGATAAACCTTGTCCTTGGAGAAGTGGTTACACAGGGAGATCTCATGGCAGCAGTGGGGGGACATCTGCATCATGAACCAGCAACTAGATATTCAATATCTAATCACTTTGTATTAAGTGTCTTAATTTTTTAAATATATTATAATATAAATAAATATAATAAATAAATTAAATAAATTTATATAACTTTATATTAAGTTGCTTTAATACAACCGAATAGATGTTTCAATTTGTCACCTCATCCCTGAGCTGTGGGTCTAATTTGGTTACTCTTGGGTTATGTGATCCTGCCTCCTCTTGCCCCAAAGTCGGCTCTAGCTGCTGCCCTCCCTGTCCCCAGCCATCACCCATGTCTGTCTCCTACACATATGTCTCTGTCCTTATGAACTTGCTTGGAGTAAAATCCTTAAAGTATAAAAATATTATTCCTGGTGCTTTCTGAAAGGATTAACAAGCCTATTAGCATCACCGGATCCCTTTCTGAATATATTTGCATACATTTCCTCCCTGCCCATTAGGCTGGCAGTTGTGTTTTCCCTCTCTGATGCTCTAGCACCTGCATCATCAGGCTTTTCCAGATGGATTCACAGGCTGTGTTGGAAAACACCTGCTCAGCCCCATGAAACTGGGGATGGCCCTGCCAGGGCACCGAGGCAGAGGTTGGTGCGACGGGAGAAGAGTGGGAGAAGACCAAACGACAGCACTGGCAAAGGAGCGACAGAATAGGGACTGGCTGAAATTGGGTTTCCAGCCATCAGAGCGGTGCTGCCTGGGATTTCAGCAGGGCCATGTTGGTGCTGGTGAAAGCCAAGCCCCAGCCCTGGTGGCCCTGCAGGGCCCTAGTATCCCAGGTCCTTTTGCAGGTGGGCAAAGAGAGGTCTGAGCCATGGAGCAAGGATGGAAAGCTTAGAGGAAGGAACAGATTTGGGGTCTTCTCTTCCAATTGATCCCTTTCCAAGCCTCTGGAGCTCAGTGTCTGAGAGCACTCGTCTTTCTCTTGTCCCTGCACTCCTCTTTGCAGCTTCTTGTCTCGCCCAGGGAAAGAAGTCCCCTGCAGAGGGGTAACACTGTTGCGGGTGGCCAAGGTTTATTCTCTTAATCTTGCACCTTCCCAAGAAGAACTGACGGGTTCCAAGTCGCGGCATTATCTTCTGCTGTGGCACCAGGAATCCCCAGCTCAGGTGACCATCAGAGGGACTTCCTGGGAGCAGCCCAATCGAGCTCACCCAGCTGGGACGTGGTGGTGGGGCTGGGGTTTCCCGATGGGACATCCCTATGTGGCACACGAGGGCCATGGGAAAGCTGCCAGGAGGCCAAGGGGCAGCCAGGCCCTAAGAGATGAAATATTGGGCACATGAAGTGGCAGCAAGTAAAAATAAACCTTCCCTCCTCCCTCCCTGCCACAACACGAAGTGCCTTGTGCCGGGTGTCTCCCTCCCTCCCGAAATAATGCTGGGTGCTGCCACCACCCTGCACTGCGATGCTCTCTCCATGCCTCCGGTTTCCATGGTGACCACAAGGAATGTCGCCAGGGTGACAGGGAGGCAAGTGAGCTGGGATTTGGCATTAAAATCAAGAATTTGGGGTTGTTGGGTTTATTTTTCTTCCCCCTCTCCCCCTCCCCCTTTAGTTCTATTTTTGGGGTTTCCCTCTCTGCCTCTGCTGGTCTGGAAGGCTCCTCTTGCAGAGCCTCTGGGCCAGGCAGCAGCAGCTCCATCCAGTGCTGTTCCCCACTTCTGCCTGTCCTGCGAGGCAATGGCCTTGGGATAAGAGGGACAAAGGGGGTTTCCTTCTTACTAAAACATTTGTTTCCTGCTACCAGGAAGGCTTCTGTGCTTTCGTCACAGAGGTGCTTGGCTTGGTGCCCCCCTCCATTTCTGCTGCAGAATGTGGCTCAAGCTGCATCCAGACCTCCTGGGTGAGTGGGCAGCCTCAGGGATTCATCCAAGAGAGGGAAATGATTCAGCATACCTGGAGGGGCTCGGAAACATGGTGGGATTGAACACCATGAGCCACCTCTGTGTCTCACCATCTCTGCCCCCCATGACCAGGTCAGTTTGGCTGGGGCGGTCCTAAAGCACTGGTGGGGGACAAGGATGGGATGATTGCAGGAGAAGCGTAGAGGGAGCCTTGCAGGTGCTAAGGAGTCCACATCTTTGTTGTCTGGTTTAAACACTCAAAGTCAGAACTGCCCAGGGCAGAGAGTGCTTGAAGGTTTGTGCTGGTTTAGCTGGTATCACAGGAACGTGGGACCATAGGTGTCCAAGCAGGGGCTGCTGGCACAAAAGTAGCACTTGTCTTCATCCCCAGGCAGGAGAGGGGTCAGGCAGCAGTTGCTCACCTTCCTAGGAGCTCTTGCTTCTCCCTCCCTTCCTTCCTCCCTCCCTTCCTTTCTCCCTTCCTCCTTCCCTCCCTCCCTCCCTCCCTCCCTCTTTCTCCATTCATCCTTCCATTCATCCCTCCAGATATTCCTCCATTCACCCCTCCAAACATTCCTCCATCCATCTCTCCATCTCTCTTTCCTTCCTTTCATCTATTCCTCTATCCATCCTTCCCTTCAACCCTTTCATCCCTCCATCCTTCTATCCCTTTGCCTCCCTCAATCCCCACAGCAGCATTGGGAAAGGTTGGCGGAGTGGGGCTATTTTTGGGAGCGTCTCCCTGGCAACGGCTACCACCACCGTCTGTGGTGGCTTTTCCATAGGTGCTAAAATATTCCACGCTTCTTATTAAAGACGGTGCTGGTGGAGACGAGCGGGGGTGGCGAGTGTGAGCCACCCTGCTGCTGGGGCCGGTGGCCATGGGGCGGTCAGGGCGTGGCACCTTGGGGGCACAAAGACAGCTGGAGGCCAGTGGCATCCTTGGTGCGACATCCCCTTGTCCCTCTCAATGGCTCCGGCAGTGCCAGCTGCCTCTTGGCCATGCTGGGCTGCCACACCATGCACGAGGTGTAGCTATTCATCCTCTTGCTGTACAGGTGAAGGGAAACATGGTAAGGTCTTGTGGGAAGCCAGCAATGAGGAGCAAAAGGCAGAGAAGAGGAAACTCAGCCTGAAGCCGAGATGACCACAGGATTGTGCAGGTATTTGGTGGCTTTGCCCACTCCAGGAAGGAGCAAGATGTCTCAGCAGCATCTTCATCCCTTTACTGCACGGAGGAGAAAGGCCTGTCATGGTGCCAGAGGGATGTCACGCTTTGCCACAGGGCAAATGGGCAGCTACCAGCCTGTAGCTCTTGGGAAGCAGCCCCATGGGCCCTAGAGACAGGGCTTTTGGGAAAGCAAGTACCCCTATGAACCTGAACAAAGTTCCCATAGGGATGGGTACAGAGGGCATGGACAAGCTGTCCCCATTCCATCCAGGTGCAGCAGCTCCCGGGGATCCTGCCACGGGAGCAGGAGGGAGGAGCCATGAGTGCACTGAGATGAGCTGGCCCATGCAGGAGGCTGATGAGCTCGTGCTTTGCAGCTGCTCATCTGCATGGAGCTACCAAACTCACCCTCTGCTTCCCTGGTGGTAGCTTTGCCAGGTGGGAGCGGGCTTTGCTCACCACAGCAGTGCTCGCTGATGCCAGTGGGGGACAGCAGGCCCCACAGAGTCTTGTGCAAGGGGATCTTGGGATGATTTTAGGAGGGAGGGTTGTGAATTTTGCGGGATTGGAGCCCAGAGGAGACTCAAAATGGGAGTCTTTTTTTTGATATTTTTTGACTTTTCAGCACAGGCCTTAACACTGAAGACAGCAGATGAGACACCAATATGGAAACCATGTCCTCAAACCATGCTGTCCTGGAGCAAGGCTGTCCCCAAGAGCCCGTGCCTGCAGCCACTGCCTGTGTGGTCAGGGCTCTCTTCAGCCTCTGGCTTCACTGCAGCAGAGTCCCCTGGCCTCTCATCACCAAGAAGTGACTTCAAAGCCTCTGAGATGCTGCTGCCCATGGAGACCCAGAGGAGGTTACCTGGACATGTTTCCTGGCAGGGTGGCTGTGCACTATCCTGGAGTCCCGAGGGCTGATCCCTCTGTGCCCACGCTCCTGTCTCCAGCATTACCCATCCCAGAAGGAAATCCCCAGGTCTATAGAGTGGGGAGGCAATGCCCCACAGCAAACGCTCTGCATCAGCTGGGAGAGCCTGGTCTTTCCTCAGAGCGAGGTGTCAGCCCAGCACCCCAAATCCAGGTGGGGAAAAAACTCTGACAGTGGATAATTCATCCCTGTGCACCAGCCCAGCAGGAGGATTCACCCCCTTGAGGGCATCTGGTGGCCCCGCCATCCCTTCCCTGGTGCTGATGGTTGCTCTCGTCTCCCCCATGGTGGTTCCGCAGCTCTGAGCTCACATGCGAGGATGGGCTAAAGTAGCGGAAAGCTGTTGGATCCTACCACAGAGTTACTGACTTCTCAGCTACAGACTGCATAGCAATCAGCGAGGGGGAGAGGCAGCCAGGGAACGGGAGCAGAGCGCAAAGGGAGGAAGAGTGGAAGGGAGAGGGGGGATTTGGGGACTAGAGCAGGGAGGCAGCAAGAGACACGGGCAAATAATGCCAGAAAAGGAGGGAATCAGGCAGGAGGGGGAGACCTGAACCCATCGCCGAGCCACGAAGGCACATCAGCACTCCGTGGGATGGACGTTCCTGGGAGCAAAAGATTCTGAGAGGCAGAGGCAGGAGGAGAGCACTGGCGTGGGCAGGGCAGAGTTAGGAGAGGAGCAGGTCGCAGCAGAGAAGTAGCTCTTCGAGGGGAAAAAATAAACCTAAGCTGGAGGCGAGCGAGGGCTGCAGAGAGACTTCCCCGATTCCTCCGGTCTGGCTGAGACATTTCATGGTGAGATGGAGAAAACGTCCGCTTTCCCCTTCCTCTGATGTTGGCTAGGCACGGCTGGAGCAGGCAGCAGCCCTCGGCAGGACCCGGGTAAGAGGCGGTGCCGGGGCGCGCTGCTCCCCTCATCGGCATGAGACCGGGAAGGGTTTTTTTCTCTTAGGAAAATAATGTATTGTTTCATTTGCGTTCACTCTGAGGAACAGCTATAAATATAACTTAGGGAGAGATGTGTGGCTTCGTGTGACTGTGCCAGTGAATAATAAAGTTGCCTGTGTGCACGGCATATGCACGTACAGCTACCGGGGTGGCCGTGGGCCGAGGGGCAGGGGTGGGCACCTGCCTGTAAACCTCCGCAACTTCCCTCCCCGCCCCTTGCCACCCTGACTTTGGTCGCTTTCAAGTAGCTTCTTCATTTTTACAGCTCCCCATGTTTCCTTAGTGTCTTCTTGCTCTGGGCTGGGTCTTGCTCAGCTTTTTCCCCTGCTCCATGTGGGCAATCGTCCCAGACAGTTTACAGGGAAGAATGCAGCTGGAGATCCGTTTTCCAAGCACTCGGGTGCAAATGGGACTGAAGGGGATGTGTTGGTTCTCCTACTGCCTGTGGAGCTTTTCGGGCTCCAGACCTGCCCCTCCCTCCCTTGCCTTCCACCTTTCCTACTCCCAGCATGGCTGATCCTGCTGCTGGTGGTCCAACATCCTCCAGATAGCTGCAAAGGGTCTTCTGCATACTGGGTTTGGGTGAAAGGAGTTCAAGAGGAAGCCATGAGCAAACTGCCAGAGAAACTCTGCCTTTGCTCCCTGTTAGCAAGGTCAGCATCCCCACCAGGGCACGAATGGGCAGGCAGGTTTATGTGGTGCTGGCAGGGTCCTTCGGATATTCCTGGTGCCACCTTCAGCCCGCAGGGCCCTCTCTTCTGGGCCAAACACCTGGAGTCAAGCAAATCCCTCTGCCAAGAACCTGGAGATCCTGTCCCCACTGCCCCATCTGGACTCCATCCATGGCAAAGTGAACAGAGGATCTGAGGCCTCTACCTTTTCCCATTCCTCTTTGTGGGGGGTTGTACTGTGAAGGGCAAACAGTGACAGCACACACGGGGGATGCATGGTGAAGGTGATGTGGCTCCAAGACTACCCTCTACCCCTGCTCTGTGCTCTCCTTGGCTTCTCAGGAGGAGGCATCCACAGGGGGTGGGAGGTGTGGAGATGAGCTTAGGGTCTGGGGCCACCCAGAGCCTGGGAGACGACAGGTGGGTGCATGGGGAACACATCTTGATGGAGACATGCAAATACACCCCTTCTCCATTCACCATCAGAAGTGGCACGCACAGAAACCTGAGACACCCTGGCATGTGACTACCCCTGTTTGTGGCCACTGACAATAATAATAAGTACAGGGGAAATATGTGCCTTAGGATGGAAACATGAGTCTGGTGGGGACAGGGGGTGGTGGGGAAGAGGAGGGATGGTGAGGAATGACCACAGACAGGAGTAGCTGGAGAGGGCTGGTCCGGAGGGAAGTGGGGCTCCCACTGCTCCACCTTTCTCCTCTTCCATCTCTCCTCCCATTCGGGTGCCAAGATCAAGTGCCCCAATGTGTGGTGCTGACAGGGGACTGGCAGTGGTCCTTGCCCCTTGCAGCCCCCCACCGTGATTTTCAAGGAAAGCCAGAAAGTGAGGAGGTGGCTGGGGAAGGATGGAGTTGTCTGGCAGGATGGATCCTCACTGGTCCCTCTGGCCACTTGGCCACCTCAAGCTCAGCTACTGGCCACCACCCTGGGAACGGCTGCATTTCTGGGGTGGTATCACTGATGGGAGGGTGGCAGCAATGGGGAGGAGGACATGGTGATGGATACCTGTGCCCGCCGTGTGCTGACATCAGTGCAGACCATAAGCAGAGCAGTTAATGGCAATCTGCCCTCAGCATGTTCCCCTGTCCTGTCTCATTATTGCACTAGGTTGGCTTAACCCGACAGTGCAGCCAGGAATCAATAGATGGATGCTGGCGTCTTAGCAATCGATCCCTTACTCATACACGCGGCTCCCAGCCTCCCGCTGGCGCTCGTTTTTCTGTGAATGGCAAGGACTGAGCGAAGCTGTCTGCGCTTGCCTCGCAGCACTGCGAAACTGAGTCAGGCTAAATTCATGCTCCTTCACAGCACTGCCTCTGTGCCCCAGGGTGGAGGGGCCTCACATGGAGCCCCGGGAGGCACCGGCGCTGGTTTTCCTCCCCAAACAAGGTGGGTTTAGTGGGGGTGGTTGGGTTTGAAGACTCTTCTTGTGAGAGATGTTGATTCTCTGTCTTGGGACAGACAGGGGGTGCCTTTGAGCTGGTTCTGACCCTCAGACCTCTCGGGCTTGTTCTCCGGCAGTGAAGATGGTGCCAAGGACCAGGGAGATGAGGGATGTGAGCTGGCTACCATGTGACCCTGCCCCAATGGTCCCAGAGACCCATGCACCTCCATGCCTGTCCTCCTGGAAGCCTGGAAGCAGGCAGCTTGCTTCAGGGACAGCTTTGGCATTCACCCACTGGTTTATCTGGGGAGAAGATGCCTACCATCTCCTGGCACCAGCACCGCTGCTGCTGTCATCGGAGATTAGGGAGTAGAGGATGGAGAACAAGGTACCCTCCAGTCTGGCACTGCCCCACGCTGCCAGCCAGGGACTCCTGCAGCTACTTTGCCCATGCCTGCACCAGCCCCTGCCACCACGGCAGTGGGTTTGCCCCTCACGATCTGGACGTCTGTTTTATTTCTATGGCAACATTTCTCCCAAAACACTTCAGAGGGAGCCTGGTGCTGTGTGAAAACATGTGAGGCAGCATCCCCCATTCTGTCCCCTGCAAAAGGTTCAGAAAAATGACCTGACACTTCCCTTTGCCTCCCTCCTCACCTCCTTTCCTCCCTGGTGAGCAGCACCAGCATTGGTACAATGAGCTGCTGGCCTTGTCCCAGCTTCCTCTCTGCTGCCTGTTCTCCTTTTCCCTGCCTTCAGCTTCGCTCTCCCCTCTCCTCTCACCCGCTCCCTTTCTGCTGGCAGCCTGCCTCAGCACCCGTGCAGAGGGACCAGCTGAAAGTAGACTTATAGAAAGTGGATGTCAAAAATGACTCTGCTATAGAGGAGGTAAAGCCCCATGAGAGCTGTATAGATTGAACCCACCAGCAGCACGGTGACTGCGGGGGCTGAAGGGCACCCGGGATCCCAGAAGCTGGACAGACAGGCTCTTCATCCCTCTGAAAATCTCGATGGCATTATGAAGAGGCGGTGCTTGCCACGGGAGTAGGTACAGCGGCCCCAGAAGTCCTCTCCTCTCCTGTTCCCGTTTTTCCCACACCATCAAGAAAGAGCCTCGTGTCTGGGTGGAGGTGACCAGGCAGAAGCTGCAAGCCGCACAGAATGCCAGCAGGCGAGAGGCAGGTAAGCAGGCAGGATGCCAGCAGGAGCAACTATTGCAGCCTGGAGGAGCAGGGGTAAGACAGCAACCTGTAGAGATGGCGGGGGGATATCGCAGTCATAGCAGTGTGCAAATGCAGCCACCGTGTCCCACTTCAAACCATTCTCCCCAGTCCGATCCCATCCGTGATGGCAGTCCCTGCTGTGCTGGGGACCTGGGGGGCAGGTGAAGGAAGGGGCAATGGTCCTCCATACTGCATCAGGTGGGGAGCACTTAGGCTTGACATCTTCTAGATGCATTTGTTAAACAAGACCAATCAAGCTGCAGCAATACAAGTCAACAGACCTGAAGTGAAATAATCGATCCACTCGCTGCGGGAATGCAGTTTTCCAGCTTACCTGGGATGCTCCCTTCGCTCTGTTTCTGGTGCTTTTCAGGCATGGCTGAAAGGGAGAAGCGGGGACCCTCTCAGGAGAATCGTGGCTCTCTTGGGCTCCTTGGGCTCCTTGTTAGCACAGCAACAAAGGGTTTGGGGGGAGGTTGTTTTTCGCCTACAGCTGATGGGTTAGTGCTCAGCAGCCAGGCCACGCTGGGAACTCAGCTCTTGTGCAGCAGCCGAGTGCAGAGCAGTGGCTGTTGCCTCTCTTGATCAGGGTCTTGGTGTGGAGCAGGCTGTGCCCTGGTTATTGCTCGCCCTTTGCTGCTGTCACTGTTGTTGTCATCATCCATAACCCATTTGCAGGCACCTGCCTTGCTGGGCGCTTGGCAGAGGTACTGCCCCGTCAGGAGTGCAACCGCAGCGAGCAGGCAGATGACATGAGCCACCCTTGCTGCCCTTTTGCTGCACACTAATAATGATCCCTTTCCCCTGAACAAGCCAAAAACCATCAAGAGGCCCTGCGTGGGCAGCTCTTCTGGCCAGGGACTCTGTGTTGCAGAGATACCGAGGTACAGGAATGCTGCTGGGAAAGGCCTTTCATCAAGGCTCCCACAAGGCAGGGTGCTCAGTGAAGGATGTTCCTGGGATGGGGGGGTTAGAAGAGATGTCCTTTTCACTGGTGCAGTTATGCTGGGAAGCTGGAGGAGGCAACCTGAGAGCACTGAAGCTGCCTGGGATGTGAGGACCTCAGGGACACCCCAGTGCCTTCAGTTTTTCAGTTCTTGTGGGTTTTACACCAACCCCTTGGGGTATAGTCCATAGTTTTAGCAGGCAGGGTGCTGGGGCATGCATCAGTCCACATGTTTCCTCAGGAGCAGGTGGGATGGGGTCTGTGCCCTGGCTGCCAAAAAAGCTCTGCTCCTTTTTGGCCAAAAAACCACCAAGGGAAGGCCAGGGGCCTTCTGACAGTTTAATTTCCCCTGTGATGCCAGCTACAAAGAAAAACACCCACCTACCTCACTCATCAAGAAGAGATTTCTCCCCAGCTGCTGTGCCAGCAGCATCCTTTCCTTACGATCCTGCTCAGCCAATCCCCAGCCCCTGTGTCTTGTCCCCCCCAGCCCCATTTTGGCCAGAGAAGAGTGGGTGAAGACCAGTGCCAGTCCCACCAACTCCACTAGACGGGGTATCCCCCGTTTACTCCAAGATCCTAGGTAGCAGGCAGCTGTTCTTGCAGTGCCATTGCCTGGACAGTGTAACTGGAGCAGGGATCGCCGGGGTGGTGTGGGAGCAGGCAGAAGGTGATGCTGTCACCTCTCTGTGCCTCTTCCTGACTTTGTCATCCTGGGGACCTTTGTGTGGTTCCCATTTTTATCTGTTTTTTCTCCCTCTCACTCTTTCTCTCTTCGTTTCTTCTCTCCCCCTCCCATCAGCATGTGGGCTGATCACTGCTCAAACTTTTAATTCAGATGGTAATTGGAATAATAATACGGGCAGAATCCTTCTGGCTCCGTTGCTGCAGCTGGCTTCAGGGAGCTATGAATAGCTCTGAGTCACACACTGAGATGGTTTAATTTCAAATGATTTTGTTTTGTTTTCATATTACCCATCCTCAGGCTCCAGAGCTTCACAGGGGGGTAAAAATATCCCCCCTTCTCACTCCATCCCAAAATGTAAACCAGGCAGAGGTACATTACTAAAATCTTTTTTTGGAGAGGGAAACTGGTCAGCGGATCATGCCTTGAGGGGCAGATGGGGACTGTTGGCACTTAATCTATTTATAATTATTGAACGAAAAGGCAGAAGTGTGTATATAAAAATGGTATAGAGTTGATTACAGCTTCCTCCCCTCACCTTCCATATGTCACTTGCCTTTTTAATACGGTAAAACTCTCCTGCACGGTGATTGTGCCTTCGTGTGTGCCCATACAGTGCCTGGCACCCAGCCCTGCTGGCACGGACGAGCGAGAGCTCGGCCACTGACTGTTGTGGCTGGACAGCCCCACGGCACTGAACTGCCTTATGAGCCCTGACATGAACCCTGGGAATATTTGTGAGGAATAGGAGAAGAGATGGAGTTACAAAGATAATGAAGAGGACAAACAAATGCTGTGGATCTGCGAAGCTCTGCAAAAGGGCAAAGAGGTCCCTTCTCGGCTGCGGGTGTTTCCGTCCTGACCCCCCAAGAGGCAGGAGGCTCATCTGCTGTGTTGTCACCGTGCCCAAGCTGGCAGGATGAGTCTGTGGATGCTGATCTCAAAGCCAGCCAGTGCTACACCACCTGTAATGGGGATAAAGGCACAAAGTGGAGCGCAACCAGCGGCTGCGGTATTGACCACAGACAGAAGGGAAGCATTTGCCAGACGACTCCAGATAAAGCAAAGACTAAGAGTGTAAAAATACTCTGGGATTTTTCCACCGTTGTCGTTCACAGTGTATGTCCCAGAGCACCAGATATGGTTGTTATAAAAAGAGAAGTGGGGGAGTGCTTCAGCATGGACTTTTCTGTTCTGTTTCATGAGACTCTTCCACTGCAAATTTAAGGAAGGATTGACAATATATGATCCACTCTGGCAGGGGCTGAAGAAAGACTGGGATGTGCGAGGCACCTCACGGTGTACTGGGGATGGAGAAAGGGAGGCATCGTGTCAGCACCAAGTGCCTTGACATTATTGGTCCACAGATCCCTTGGAAAAGGACAGCAACAACCCATCCCCCTGTGTCTACTCAGGGTCAGAGCAGAAGCGGGGTGGCAGTGTGGGCTGGTGTGATGGCTTGTGCTGCTGGAGCACAGTGTCACACGGGAAGGTGGAGATGACTGCAGCATCATGGTGGTGTCCTCAGCATTGCTCAATCTAGGACACAGGAGGGGAAAAGTGGTTGGGAAGGAAGGAGGAGCAGCCCATGCTGTGGGGCTGGGGGCGAATGTTGGCCCCTGGAGACCCACCTGGCTGACATCTTCAATGCTGCAAGACAGTGGCTGTGATGCCTATGCTGCACCAGCTTCCCACAGTGCTGCCAGGGCTTCCTCAGACTATGAAATATATGGATATTCACATACACGAGGGACAGGGGAGCAGAGGGATGAAGAGGCATCTCACCGGATTGCAGTATCCTGCATCTCCCAGGGTGCCCCATGCTGCACCCACTAGCATGGTTTCATCTGGCTCCCCAGGAGTTGCCACTGACCCCACAGCTTCCTCCTCCATGTGTGGGTCCCAGGCAGTAGAAAGATCCTTGGATACACTCTGAGATTTCCATCTCTGTCCTCAGCTAGGCTTTTGTCCCCCTTTTCCCCCCTTGTCCTGTTCAGAATGTGTCACCCCCTTTTTCTAGAGACATCTCTGAGCCTTCCCCTTTCATCCAGTTTGTGTTTCAGGTTTCCAAGCTGCAAAATGTGTTTCCAAGCTTCCAAACTGTTTGCATAGGTTTTGGCCTCCTGGTAGGGCCTCTGGCCTTGCTGAGCTGGCAGCATCCATTTTGCAGGCAGAAGTCAGTGGTGGCCCTGGGCCACCAGCTGCTGAGGAGGGACAGTGACATCTCCAGGGGGCTAATGCAAATGTTGGCACCAGTGTGATAGCAGTCCCAAGCTCAGGGCTTCTTGCCTGCCTGTTTGTCCTTCCCATGGTGGCACCACGCACTGTGGGGGTGCGTTGAGGTAGAAGTGGGAAGTGTGTTTATTTTCGTTCGTCTCCTGGCTTGTGCCGCTCTGAGTTTGTGACACTCGGTATTACTAACACTTCCCTGTGCCAGCTGGCAGCAGGGAATGAATCAGATTGGCAGCACCACTGTGTGGACCCCTCATTGGCCATCCAACTTGGAGTGATGCCTCTGGCTGGTGATATCTCTTGCCCCTGTCCAGGGTGAGCCCTGGCACCAAAATGCCAGTGGCCTGAACTTGATAGTGGCAACATCTCAGTACCCTGTGGGCAGAGTTGTCCCCTCTGACCCATGCTACCTGCCAGGGGCTGGATGGTCCCTGTCCCTCCTTCATGCTGTAAGTCTCAGGTGGCTTCATGACCCACTCTCTGCCCACTGGCAACATCCCCAAGTTGGGGTCTGCTCTGCAGCCAGTAGGATAGTTTATCCTCCTGCTGTCAAAAAAAAGGCTTTGCAGTTGTTGTGGTTTAACCCCAGCTAGCAACTAAGTTATCGCTCAGCTGCTGGCTCCCTCCCCCTGTCCTCAGCCCCTGTCAGGAGGAGAATTGGAAAGAGAAGGCAAACCTTGTGGGCTGAGAGAAGAACAATTTAATAACTGGAACAACAACAACAACAACAAATTAATAATAAGAATTGTAATAATAACTAGTGGGAGAGAGACTAACAGGATCTAAGAGAAAAAAGTGATGTACAACCCAGTTGCTCACTACCCATTGACCAATGCCCATCCCATTCCTGAGCAGTGATTGGCCCCTTTAGGTAAATCCCCCAGTTTATATACTGGGCATAATGTTCTATGGCATGGAATATCCCTTTGGCCAGTTTGGATCAGCTGTCCTGGCTATGGTCCCTCCTGGATTCTTGTGCAGCTCCTCACTGGCAGAACATGGGAAATGGAAAAATCCTTGGCTTAAAGTAAGGCACTACTTAGCAACAACTATAACATCTGTGGGTTATCAGCATTATTCTCACACTGAATCCAACACACAGCACTGTACTGGCTACTAGGGAGAAAATTAACCCAGTCCCTTCCAGAATCAGGAGAGCAGTTGACTGTTTCCTCTCCCCCCTCCCGCCCCCTCCACTTCCACTCCTGACCACTCAGTATCCATGGAACTCAATGACATCACAGACATTGGAATGTTGGTTGTTCCAGCTGTTGTCCAGAGCCAAAACATAGAGGTGTCTGGTCCTCCACTCTCTCCTGATCTCCCTCCTGTTCTAGACGGAGGGATTTTGGCGGCTGCCTCTTCTCCCACAGGCATCAGTGAGGCTGCAGAGGTTGACACTGCTTGTCAGTGTCACCGGCCTGCGTGATCTAGGCTCCAGGAGGATAATTTGGATTCTCCCACTTGCTGCAGCCCAGAGCACCCTGAAAAATGTCATGGCCACTTGGCATCTCTGGGCCAGTGGTGAGTGTCTTACCAGAATCTCAAGGCTTGGAAGATGATGATGATGACGACAGTGACAAATTCAGGTACTCCTGCCACTCTGCGCATTCTTCACCCCCGAACAAGAGCAATGACAGCTTAGATGACAGTCAGACAGAGGATCTGAGAGAACCCATCCCATTTTCCCTAACTCCCAGGCACTCTAACATGGTGGAAGGTGAACAAGTGGAGCTTGAAGAGGAAAATCAGGAGTTTCAGGAACCATTTTACAAAGACCATTTTAAAAAGTCTGACAACTTGTCTGGAGATAAGGAGCCCAGCCCGACCCAACATTTTCCTGGGCATCAGGGGTCGCCTGGTCTCCAAAGGGCCAGTATGGCACCGTGTGGCTCCCAAGACTCTTTCCAGAGTAACACAGACCAGCACTTGGAGATGGAGGCTGCTGCCCCACAGGCCCATGCCAGTGACCCCTACGTGGGGCCTTCACAGTGCACCACGGGAGCAGAGCCCCACATGCTGCACAAGGAGGCCATCTGGGACAGGGATTTCCCATCCCTGCAGCTGACCTACAGCATCCTAAGGGAGGAGAACAGCATGATCAGGGAGGAAAACAAAGTGCTCAAGGATAAGAATCTCGCACTCGAAGAGGAGAACTACGTGCTCAGGGAGATTTTCTATGGGCTCAGGGAGGACAATGTTGTGCTCATGGAGGAGAATGTCGTGCTTAGTGGGGAATACAACATGTTCAGGGAGCAGTATGACAGGCTTAAGGATGAGAATGACACACTCAGGGAGGACAATGCCACGATCAGGAGAATGTTTAAGAACTTCCAGAGCAGCTTGGAGACCCAGGCGTGCATGGTGTCAAGCCTGCAGGAGCAGCTGAAAACTAGCCTGGTTGAACGGAAGAGGGAAGCCCGAGAGCTCGAGTCCGTAGTCCAGCAGACTAAGTGTAATCTCCAGCTAATGACCCAGCGGGCTCTGGATGCAGAAGGAAACATGGAGAGGCTGAAGCAGAAGATCTTTATTCTCCAAGGACAGCTGGAGAGATCCAAGCTGGAGAATGAAAACCTGAGAGCAGACCTGCCTGAGAGCAGCAAAGCACGACTTGGACTTCACGTGGCAAAACCCCCACAAGCTCATAATGGGCGCAAATGGTTCCATCAGGCAGCTCCTGCCTCAGGAATGAAGGTTCTGCCTGTTATTGCTGAGGTCCTTGAATCTACCAGCAAAATTCTCAAATTGTAAGCAGAAAAAGACCTATGAGTGCAATTCTGTGTGAGTTCTATGGATGAGTGTATGAACTGAGATCATGGGTCTCCTACTTGCAGCTATTTGCTGTAAATAAAAGCATTTGCTTTTCCATTCTCAAATGTGCTCAGACTGGTAACTTTTATCCTTTGTGGAGATACTTTCCTTCCGATTAAGTATCAGTTGCAGGTAGTGGTGTGGCTTTAGCTGTTGATACTCTGTTTAGGTACTGCAGAACCAGCAGCAAACACTGCCCAGGCTCTGAGCTGCACGGTCCAGCCGTGGTGGGCTCTGCGCAAGAGGCTGTGCCACAGCTGTGGCTGACATGAACTCCTGTGTGGGAGCCAGGAGGAAGCACAACAGCACAGGATGCAACACTCTTAAACAGTGTGCTCATCCCTTCCCATAGCTGTACCAGCCACAATCAGAGACGAGCAAAGCCCTTGTATTTCATCTTGCTTCCTTTGCCCCTTCTTGGAGAGGTGGGAAGGGTGAGGAGCAGAGATCCAGACGCTGTTGCACATGGTTTCAGTGAGCAGAAGCTCCTTCCTTCCTCTTTCTTTGGAGCTGGCTGCTTTCTGGGCCACAAATTCAGTCTCTAGAAATTGTGCACCTGCTCCTGCATCTGGGGAAAGAGGGTTGTCGGTGGTGAGAAACCTCTGGGAAGTTGTGAAGTCATATATGTGAGCTGTGGCAGTGCCTTCCCTCCCATACTGATGTCAGTGTTGGATAAGGATGACCTTGGCATATGCAGGCTGCCTAAGGAAGGTGCCAGTTGGAGAGGATGCCCTTCCTCTCTTGGCTGGGGCTGGCGTAGAGGGGTGTGCCTACACTGCCTGCCTTTGTCGCCTCCCAGAGACATATGGGAGCCTGCGGCCCAAACTCACCATGTAATCACTGAGGTTGCATTTTAGCTTTATCTGAGCAGGATCATCTGTGGACATGAAGTGACCTTTCTTCATCACATCAACATTTCCGATTAATTCAGGTTACCAACCCCAGGTTCTGCTGTAGGTTTACCCAGCTAACAGCAAAGTTCCTATATCTGGTCAAACTCACCCTCCTTAAAGACTTGGATGCTGTAGGGTAGTGAAGGGGTGGGAGCTGGCAGAGTTCAGTGCCAAAGTGCTTTTTTCCTGATGGGAATTTTTGGGCAGCTGCTTACTTTTGCCTCTGTATGGTGAGTTGTGGATTACAAGGTTGTTGTCTCCTCCTGGTCCCATAATACCCTTGGTCTGAACAACCATGTTTGTGTTGCCACAGAGCTTAAACTGCCTCAGTAACCAGGAGGAGAAACTGCTGGTTAAACTTCATCCTATCAGAGGTGTTGTCTGAAGCTCCTTACTTGATGCTTTCCAGTCTGTGCTCCTAACTGGGGAAAGCTGGTGGGCTCCCCCAGCCACATGAAGCCCCATTCTGCAGCACTGATGACTGAGACAAGGATGGTTCTCACCAGCTTTTCCATCCTAGACAGTACTTGCTGTTCCTCTCTCCTATCCATGCATGAGCACTTACAAGCAGATCTAAACTTTAGATTTGATCCCCAAATCTTTGTATTTGTCCTCTATCTGGCAAACACTAGTTGCTCACCAGTGAGGCTGGGAGTAAACAAATTAGCTGGCTCTGTCTGCATCCTGTGCTCTGCACTGGCTGCTGTAATCCAAAGGCTACATAGCAGGATTAGCATGGGTGTACAAAGCCCTTCCTAATCTGTGAGTCATTACTCCTTCACTTCATTTCACTTCCCAGCAGCTCTGGGCAGACAGATAGGTGAGTTCTTGAGTCTTTGGTTTCCGCATTCTTCCATTCTGGGAGGACTGGATCGAGACATAACACCTGCTGCACATCCTCCCAGGACTCTGCTGCTGAACTGCTCCTTGGATGCTGTACACAGGGCATGTGCAAGGTTTGTTTGCTCTAACCGGCTTCTCCTTGGCTACCCCTAAGCCTTTCCTTTCCATCAGTTCTCATTTTTGGCTCTACCACTTAATTTTCTTCTTTTCTTTGAAACAGGGGGGGGATGTTCTGTGCACTCTGGAAATAAATCCCTTCTGGGTCAGGCTGAGTTGATGGGATCCCTGGGGGCTGCTGTGCATGCCCATGCTTTGTTAGCCATTGTGTGTGAGGTATTTAGCCTGGCTGAGCTCTCGTCCTGGTGTAAGCTCTGATATTAATATAATGGCTCAGGGTGAGGGCCCTGTGAGCTGCTCAGCTGTTGTGCCCTTGGTCTGGAGAGCAGTGACCAGCCAGCCCTGCTCCCCTACTGGCAGTAGATGTTGGGGAGGGTGGGGGCTGCGGGCCGTGTGACCCAGTCTGCATCCATCAGCTCCTCACCTGACTAAGCCAGGCTGTGGCACAGTGCCCATGGAGACCTCCAGACCCACCCTGAGCAAACAGTTGTGAGCCCTGTGTCCGCCGCTCTGGACTGGGACGGGTGCTGCCAGTGGAGGTTCTGACTAGGCTTTGCTTTGTCCTTCTCTACCAGGTGTGTGCCAGGAGCACTTGCAATGGCAGTGCCAGTCCCAGCTCACCAGAGGTGAAACCCGGAGCCACCTCATCCCATGTGACTGCTGCTGCATGAGTTCCTGTGCCATTCCAGCTCCCGTGGCCCCCTGACATCTGATGATACAGTGAGCCATGGGCAGCGTCCGAGTCAACAGGTGAGTAACCCCCCTGTCAGGGACTGCTGCTGCCCTGGGTGGCCTGGTCCTCATCATCTGGCCCCTCAGGCCCTACCTTCAGCCTACCTTTTGGTATATTCTTCTCAAATTACCTGTCAGGGTCTTTCCCTTTCCTGTTCCAAGGTGTGACTCCTCTCTCCTTCTCCAAACCAAAACATGCTGTACATAGGGGTAGTGCTTGGAGGAGTACTATTGAGGAGAAGCAAAGCACTGCATGGTGCTGGACCAGAAATTACAGATTCCAGGAGGGCTGCAGAAGCCACATGTCCCCAGGAATCACAACTCCAGCCACCAGATCTTCCCTTCCTGTGAGATGTGGATGGGTGTCTTGAAGCCCATGCTGGTGGACTCCATCTGATGTGTCAACACTATGGAGTGGTAGGGAGACACTTCCAGGGTCCTGTGAGGCTGCAGCTCAGCAGGCATGAGGGTAAAGTGGTCTTGGCAGTTCAATGCACTCTCTCGATTTCCTCAGTGGTCAGAGCATCTTCTACCATCACATCTTTAAGGAGTATCTGCAACTGTCTCAGCATCACATGAGGGGCAGCGTCAGAGCCGCCTGCAAGGATGGGGAGCCAGAGGGGTAAACGTCTCCCAGAAAGCATGTGTAGCTTCTGCCAAGGAAACTGCCAGCACTTTGACTGTTGATCTCCAAATTACACCTTTGGCCTTGGATACAGGATGCTGGAAGCCATGCATGTTGCTGTGGCAACAGAATTGTCCTGAGTGCAGGAAGTGTATAAACATTGTCAGCACACACCATGAAATCAGTGAGCAGAGCAGAGGAGAAAATAGAAACTCCCAACCTCACATAATATCAGGGCCAAAACGTGGCCAGGCAGTGGGTGCTTGCTCCTAGGCTTCCTGGCTATCCCAGCTACTGTCAGGTTTCAAAGACTTGTACCTCTCCTGACCACAAGGGCTGGAAGGTACCACAGAGGACAAGCTTCTGCTGCTTTTCTGCCTTGTCAGGACTTTGCTAGATACAACCTCCTGGCAGCAAGACTCAGCAAATATTGCAGCTGATCTCCACCAATCTGGTCAGAGAGGCTCCATGGTGCAATAACCAGTAAAATGTGCTGTTGTGAAATTCAACAGTACTCTAGCCCTGTGAGCCACCCGCATGTCTCCTGCCCTTGTTGTCTCAGTGAATATGTGAAGTTACTCTTCACATATTTCTGATGGAAATGCCTGTTTCTCCTCTTCCCAGATACAGCATCGTCTCAACTGAAGAGGATGGACACAAGGTCTCTGCACTGGGCAGCATCAACGGGCACAGCCGGAATGGGAAGGGCCACGCTCCCCAGCGGAAGCACCGCAACCGTTTTGTGAAGAAGAATGGCCAGTGCAACGTCTACTTTGCCAACCTGAGCAACAAGTCTCAGCGCTACATGGCCGACATCTTCACCACCTGTGTGGACACACGCTGGCGGTACATGCTCATGATCTTCTCGGCTGCCTTCCTGGTCTCCTGGCTCTTCTTTGGCTTCCTCTTCTGGTGCATCGCTTTCTTCCATGGTGACCTCAATGCACCATCTGTGGGAGGTGGTCCCTCTCTCCTAAAGCCCTGCATCATGCACGTGAACAGCTTCCTGGGGGCTTTTCTTTTCTCGGTGGAGACACAGACAACCATTGGGTATGGCTTCCGCTGCGTGACTGAGGAGTGCCCGCTGGCTATCATGGCAGTTGTGGTCCAGTCCATCGTGGGCTGTGTTATCGACTCCTTCATGATTGGCACTATCATGGCCAAGATGGCAAGGCCCAAGAAGCGGGCCCAGACCCTTCTCTTCAGTCATCATGCAGTCATCTCCGTGCGAGATGGCAAACTGTGCCTCATGTGGAGGGTGGGCAACCTGAGGAGGAGTCACATCGTGGAGGCCCATGTCCGAGCCCAGCTCATCAAGCCCTACATGACAGAGGAAGGGGAATACCTCCCCCTGGACCAGCGGGACCTAAATGTGGGCTATGATGTGGGTCTTGATCGTATATTTTTGGTCTCACCCATTATTATCGTTCACGAGATTGATGAGGAGAGCCCACTCTATGGGATTGGCAAGGAGGAGCTGGAGACAGAGAACTTTGAGATTGTGGTTATTCTGGAGGGGATGGTGGAAGCCACAGCCATGACCACACAGGCACGAAGCTCTTATCTTGCTAGTGAAATCCTTTGGGGTCATCGTTTTGAACCAGTTGTGTTTGAGGAGAAGAACCACTACAAAGTGGATTATTCACGCTTTCACAAGACCTATGAGGTAGCTGGCACACCTCGCTGCTCAGCCCGGGAGCTACAAGAAAGTAAGATGACTATCCTACCTTCTCCCCCACCTCCCAGTGCCTTTTGCTATGAGAATGAGCTGGCACTTGTCAGTCAAGATGAAGATGAAGATGATGACGAAGTGGGTGTGGTGTTAGGGAGCAGCACCAAGGAGGAGGGAGGTATCATCCAGATGATGGATTTTGGAAGCCACCTGGACCTGGAGCGGCTCCAGGCAACTCTGCCTCTAGATACAATCTCATACCGCAGGGAGTCAGCCATCTAATTCCTCCAGTCTCCCCATTCCATTCCTATTGCCCACAGTCTCCTCCGTTCTGCACCCGTACACTGGATAAGTTCCTTGACCACCAAACGATGTCTCCCATGACTGCCTCTCAGCCCCTGAGTACATCGAGGCCTGGAGCTGCTCTGATATACTCCCTTTCCTATGAAGTCATACTGCTTGGAAGAGGAGTGAGGATACACTACTCTTCCCAGGTATGCAGTTTATACTAGGATCCCTTTCCTGCCCAGAGACAGGAGAGCAGCAGGCCTGATTTCTTGTCTCTGGAGAGGTGACAGGAGTCCCTGCCTTCAAAGGACAGACTGGGACCTGCAGCAAGTGCATCTGCTGCTGAAGCAACAGCAGACTTTCTGTCCCCTCTCAGTACGGGTAGGCCCAATGGCTGTCAGGGGTCATGGCCATCTCTAGGAGAGGAGCAATTCCTAAGCACTGACCAGATGAGGATGGAAGGGAGAGTTCAGGACTCCTGGAGGGAGTGGGGAAGGATCTCAAGGGACAAGTTTACTTGCATGTTTGTTGCTTGTTGCACACGACTGTCTCTTTGTATATAAAACAGAAGAAGAAATGAAATCCGTATTCTTCCACTGCAAATGTGAAGGTAGGAGACAAGGACATACTACATAGCCTACTCTTGGCTTTTGGTATCTGCCACCTCCAGAAGCAGCTCAGCTCCACGGACTCAGACCCAGTTCTCCCGGTCCTCTTGAAAAACACATCCTGCTCCTCTCCTGAAACGCCTGGTGGAGGAGGCAGGGCCCAGTTCTTGCCACACTCAGACTGCTCCCTGGCATGGCACAGCTAGGATGACAGACAAATGACCTGACTGAACAGCAGACCCTCCACTTGCTCCTTTCACCTCCTTCATTCTTCTCCCTGCTGCCATCAGCTGTAAAACTGAATTTGTAACTATTTATTTTTAATAAAGTCTAATATCCCAAGGGGAGGTTTGGAAGCAAAGGACAAACCCCACGGCTGCAGCCTGGTATAGAGACTGATGAGGGTTATTAGCGCTAATGTTTGCTGTTTATATGGTGTTGGAGCCTGAAAGCTCCAGCACAAGGGCTCCCTTGTTCTGGGCCTCTCGGGTAAAGACCCACAATAAGACACTCAGAGAATTTGTTAGGGGAAGAAGGTCATACAAATGTGTGTACAGAGGGAATCATTTGCATTAAAATCACCAGTAGGATGGGTCAAAAAATTTTGCTTGCTTCGGAGATGAGAGTTTTGCCCAGGGAAAAGTTACAGTTATGCTTGATAAAGAGGCAGAGATGTGTAAGACATTGGTCTAGATGGAAGGCCCAAAAAACCCATAAAAAAGTCAAAGCCTCTTTTTTTGCTAGAGGCAAGTAGAGGGGAAATTAGGGAGGTTGTCAACCAAAGCTAGACTTGTAACATCACTTTGCTGTGATTTCACAAAAGAAGTGAAAACCTTTTCCTTCAGGAGCAGCAGAATCACCCCTCAAAACTTCAGATGAGATGAGGGCAGAAAGACAAGCAGGGAGCTCAGGAAGCTGCTCTGGGCACCCAACAGATGTGCTATAGGGGGAAAGGCTGAGGGAATTATGTCCCACCCAACCTCTGACCTAAAAGCAGAAAAACAGCGTCTCAATATCTATCTGGAATTGGTTTAAGAAGCAACAGAAAGAGGGGAAGAAGCAGAAGGATAAGGAAGGAAATAGCAGGACTGAGAGGAAGAAGCAGACACAGCAGGCAGGTGGCACAGGAGGAAGGGGAAAAGAGGAAGAGGAGGTGAGGTAATATGGAAGTGCGTTTCAGAAAGAGCACAGATAGATTAATAAGACATGTCTAGACCCAGTCACGGCCGTTTCTCATCACAGGATGTAGGTTCTGTGGGGAAGCAGCTCTCCTGTCCAGGTTATTCCATTCACTGGAGTAACTCCATTCAGCACCACTCTCCAGGCCTGGCTATGCAGCCAGTCTTCGACCCAGAGAACAGTGCACCCATCCAAGCCAGACAGTTTCTCCAGGAGAATGCTGTGGGAGACAGTGCCAAAGGCTTTACTGAATTTCAGGTGGACTATATCCACGGCCTTTCTCTCATCCACTGAGCATGTCACCTAGTGACAGGAGATAGGAGGAGATCAGGTTGCTCAAGCGGGACCTGCCTTTCCCAAACTCATACTGGCTGGACCTGATTCCCTGGTTGTGCTGCACATGCTGTGTGATGGCAAGGTGATTTGCTCCATGACCTTTCCTGACATTGAGGTCAGGTTGACAGGCCTATAGTTGCCTGGATTCTCCTTCTCGCCTTTCTTGTAGATGAGTGTCACATTGTCCAACCTCCAGTCACCCAGGGCCTCTCTGGTAAGCCAGGACTGCTGGTAGAAGATAGAGAGTGGCTTGGTGAGCTCTTCTGCCAGCTCTCTCAGTACCCTTGGGTGAATCCCATCCAGCCCCGTTGACTTGAGAGTGTCTAAGTGGTGTAGCAGGTCACTGAGCATTCCCTCCTGGATCATGAGGGCTCTGTTCTGCTCCCTGTCTTCCAGCTCAGGGGGCTGGGTACCCTGAGGACAACTTGTCTCACTATTAAAGACTGAGGCAAAGAAGGCATTCTTCCTTACTCTGTAGCAATCCTTGGCTCCAGAGCCCATCTGCCAGAGCAGTTTGCCTCAGAACCTTCACTGAAATGATGGATACACCCAGTTTTGAACAGCCACCATCTCTCCCAGCTCTGCCAGTTTTGAGGCAGAGCTGCCTCTCCTCAGAGCTCCAACGTTCCCCACTTGAGAACTGGGGTGCCTCTCTCAGGGCTAATTTCAAAGGTTTGCTGGTTTAGGAAATGAAGTCACTCCCTCCTTTCATTATTTACTTACTTTCCCCCGAGGGAATAAGCAGGGGCTGGTATTGATCTGGCTTTTAATACAGCTTTCAGAGTTGGGCGCCTGCCACTGGCCATGGCAGTGGAAACAAACTAATGGACCGAGAGAGAAGGACTTTGCGTGCGAGGACACGGGCATTCAGGACACAGGCTGAGGTGGTGGCCTCCAGGAGAGGAGGAACCCTCATGCCTGGGCACCCTCCTCACTGACATACAGCATCCATTGGAGGCAGATGGCAGTGCTTGGTGGGACAAAGTGCCCACTGCCCATTAGCTCTTGGGAGGCTCATCACCAAGGAGTGAGTGTCCAGAGATGCCAGGCAAGGATGGTGCACCAGGGCCATGGGCATGCACAGCTGGAGTGGCTGAGGCAACAAAGAGGTCAGCACTGCTGCTCCTCACATCAGCTGGTGTGGCTCTTGGGGGAAAAATGGGAAAAGGTAGGTAAAGCTGAGCAAACAAGCATCATGCAGCCACGCTGATGTTCCATCCCCCTCCATGTGTCTGAACCTGCTGGCCCTTTCCATGTCATGTTTGGCATCACAGTGGAGAAGACACTGAGGCATTGAGGAATATTCAGTTACCTGCTGTTCACAATAAAATTGTGAGGAAGCTTTCAGTGCTGTCAGATCGTTAGAGAGGAGAGAGAAAAGGGGGCTGAGAGGAGGGGGCGGAGGGAAGGAGAGGAACAACCAGAGTGCAAGAGAACAGAGATGATGGGTAAATCTCTGCCCACCAGACACTCTTCACGCAGCTGTGCTGATGTTGCTGCACACAGCTCCTCCAATGACATGGTGCAGTCACTCCAGGGACTGTTTCTGCAAGTTGCACACATGTCCACAGGCTTTGCTGATACACAGTTTCTGCACAGGAACTTCTGTATCTGCAGACTAAAATCACAGACTACTCATGTCCAAGTACACACTGCACGTACCTACATGTGTGTGCCGCACAATGGGGCATAATCCATCCTACACCACAACTTCATCCCATAAACACCCAATGCCATACACAAAAATGCCACACAGCAGCAGCATCTCAACAAAAGTCTTCTATGCTGGGAATTCTCTTACGTGCCTGTGAAAAGCCGCCAGGATAATCCATCTTGGAAGGCTGTTTGCTATAGAGGAGACTCAACATTTTTAAGGATTCTTCAAATCAGCACTCCAAGACATTCATAATCATAAACACACCAAATATTTTATCTTTTGCATACAGTATGCGTAGCGTCGTCTTTCAGGTAGATGACACCTCCTTGCCCTGTGTTCTCCAGAGAAGATATCTCTATCGAATGACAGAGCATGATGTCCTCCAGCTTCCTCCCTCCTCCAGGATCTGATGGAGGGACCACTTTCTCAGGACCTGCATCTAATCCCAAGGGGCTGGCAGCTTGCTTTTCAGGAGGAAGACGCTGTTTCTTTGTTTATTTGACCACAATCCATATTTCTTTCCTCTCTTCTGAACTTCTTACTTGGCTCATTATTGAAAGCTATTCAAATACCAGAAATATAATGGAGAGAGGAAGGACTTCTTCCCTATGAATAAGATCCAGGCACTGGTTCAGTTCCTCTACCCCATGACAACTAACCAAGCTGTTGTCACTCTTGCCAGCTTTCAAATGAATGTTGTTGTTTGAAATGACACTTGAGAAGCTTGTTTCATGTTTTATTTTTGGTGACACTTTTGGACAACCCTTTTAAAAAGAAATCATCATTGGCACCTTTCAACTCACAAAATTTGCTCAATGAAACATTTTGATACACACTGCAACTAAAAATATTTTCAAGAAACAGAACAATAATCTCAACTGGGGAGAAAATGGGTTTGGATTTCCAAGGTTAGGAAATGGTGTTGAAAATGTCTGTGCTACTGAACAAACGTGTCAGTTTTCAAACAGCTCGGTTTCATTCCGGTTTTGCCCAGGAGTGGAGCAGGGCACATGGCACTGCCCCAGCAGCTGCGTGCAGGCTTGTGTCCTCTGCAAGAATGCCTCCTCTGTTTGCTTTGAGCTTTAGCATCTCTTCTTTGCCTTTGCAGGAAGGCCTGAGGTCTCTCCCAGCTTTTGGACAGTGGCCACGGTTTTAAATATCACCAAAAAAACCCCCAACCCAGTAAAAAAAAGCCTTACCTTCCCAGGCCATTAAGGGCTTGCTCTTGCCCCCGCGAAGTCAATGGGACTTTGGCATCGCCTGTGATAAGAGCAGAGCTGGGCCCTAATGGAGCACCGCTATTGGAAAACCCCGCGGGCGCCGGCCCTGTGCTAAATCCGCAAAGCCGGGACGGACTATTGCTGCACGCGCAGGAGGGGGAGAGGAGGGAAAGCAGCCTACTGGGGTGTTGAACGCATGGGGTGGGGTAGGGTCAGCTGGGGCAGCCTCGCTGGGGCAGATCGACGGGACAGCAGAGGGATGAGGAGGCTGGGAAGGCAGTCTGTCTCCGCAGCCACCTGCGACACGGGATCCAACGGCCGGGGTTGTCACACCAGCAGGAGACGAGATGGCAGCCAGTTCTTGGAAAGGCTACACAGGCTTCTCCTCCTACCATGGTCAGCAGGGTGGGGGTCCTGCCCTACCCAGCCCCGGTGTTTTTCCGCCTGCAGGACGAAGCACAAGGAGAGTGAGTGGCACTGAGAGACTGTAGAAGCCCGGGCATTGCCTGGCCTCAGAGCACCATCTAGAGCTGAAAGCAAGGCTGGCATCCCCGCGGGTCCCGGCGTCATAGAATCATACAATTGCTTGGGTTGGAAAAGACCTCTAAGGTCACCGAGTGCAATCGTTAACCCCGCACTGCCATGTCCACCACTAAACCATGTCCCTAAGTGCCACATCTACATGTCTTTTAAATACCTCTGGGGATGGTGACTCCTCCGCTTCCCTGAACAGCCTGTTCCAGTGCTTCACAACCCTTTCAGAGAAGAATTTTTTCCTAATAACCGAACTAAACCTTCCCTGGTGCAACGTGAGGTCATTTCCTCTTGTCCTATTGCTTGTTACCTGGGAGAAGAGACCGACTCCCAACTGGCTACAGCCACCTTTCAGGTAGTTGTACAGAGTGATAAGGTCACCCCTGAGCCTCCTTTTCTCCAGGCTAAACAACCCCAGCTGTTTAGCCTGGGGTTGTTTAGCC